TGGGGGTGGGGGGGGGGGGGGGGGGGGGGGGTATAAAAAGAATTATGATTTCAGTTCACAATTCAGTTTACTGATTTGATATGTTGTTCAGCATTTTAATTCAGTGTATTTATTCAATTAAGTTAGATTAAGATTTATTTTTCTTTTTATATTTATATATATATATATATAAAGAAAAATAAATATTTTATAAATAAATAATATCCATGAACACGGTGCATTTCTGAACTCCATCATGTCGTGGAAGTTATCGATTTCTATTCACATCTGAAGCGTTTCAGTGACGCGGCGCCTCCTGAGCTTTCGCGCATGCGCAGAGGCGGCGCTGGAAGCCCAAGAGTGTTTCGAGAGTCGAGCGATTCCACTCCAGCGCTGCTTCCGCGTTCGGTCAGCGTCACGTGATAAACGAGCCTCTGATTGGCTTATTATTTTAATCGCGGTTATAATACCACCGGATATTAAATAGTTAATACTAAATATTTAGAATGAGAATGATTTAAAATGCACCCGTGTTATGAATTTGTCTTTTTTTTTTTATATGAATATAGCCACAGTATTATAACGTACAAATATAAATTATATAATATAAATCATGTAAAAATTTAAATATAAAATCAAATGTTTAAAAATATTAACATATTGCAGTAAGCATAGACAAAGTAAACAAATAAATACAATTAATTTACAGGTTCTTTAGCTATGCATGTAAAACGAATCTCACTCTATTAGTGTAGCTGTAGCAATACATAAGTATTTTATCAATACTTTCTGAAATAAATTATTTCATTTTAATGTAAAACTGACTTTAAATTCTAAGTCAATTAAATATGGTTTCTGGATACAAACCACATAATGTACGCGATGCATCAATTTAAGCATGTCTTACTCCCCAGGTAATATTTACAGAGATCATATTTATGAATAATGGTATTTAATTTTGTTTGCATTTTTTTTATTTTTTTTTATGAGACAATTTCCAGATTTTCCTCCATAAAAGTCCTGCAAGTTGCATATACGAGTTTAGAATTTCCTGGGCAGATTTACATTTCAAACTCTATTATTAATGAATATAATAAACGTGTTATTGCACAAAAGAGAACGCAGTTCGTGACGTCACGACGTCAGCTGCCGTGAACCGGAGTGGAAGCGCTAGACGCTCGAGCGACATTTTCATCTCATTTGATTTCCTCTTCAGCCACAGGCCCGATTCGGACTGTCTGATCTCGAACCCACAGCAGCTGGATGCTCGGAACGAACCGGAGCTTGAACCAGACGCTCGTGCGCGGTATTCGCTGGGTGAGTCTGCGGTCATCGAGACGGGCAATGCATCTCTCATCCGATCCGGTTTCACATTGATTATCGCCCGTGCTCTTCCCTCTGCTCAGTGCATGTGAAGACCGCAGCGCGTTAAATAAACACAGTTGATGTGCATGTGGAGTTTGGCAGGCGTGGCTCTCTAAACATCTCAGATGCTTATAATTCATCTGTATTTAGCATGCACGACTCATTTGCATAAAACATGCAGATGAAGCTCTGGTTTCTCTTCTTGTTGAGCTGATTTTGCTGTTGCATCTGCTTGTTTTATTCGGGTTGATGGCATTCAGCGTTTGCTTTGCTTTGATATTTCTGAATGATTGTCGTAGTCATGCATCATGGCATTTCCATGCAAAATGATATTGTCATGATATTACTCTGGTATGTGTCCAAAAGCATGGTTATTATGATGTGCCATCTATAATGTGGCCTTATTATAGTATGGTTCGTTCATTGCAATGGCACAAATGGTTCCAGTTTACCAGAATTCATCCTAAATAAAGCATAATACCATATCTATACAATGTTTATATGCCATGGTATTTGCATTGCATTCCAAGATACTGTAAGGAATACCTTGGAAATGCTGTAGTGCCATGTGTAATGTGCTGACAATGCTAACGAGCGTGTTGTGAAACGAGGAGAGTTTAAAGAGCCAGACAGCAGCACATACCGTCTGTAGCCTCTGTGCTTTTTTCAGGCTCGGAAAACATAAATATTTAAAGGGGTCATATGATGCTTTTTTTAAAGATCATGGACACTACAGGTGAATAGAGTAGAGATATTAACTAATAAATACACTGTTGATATCTAAGTTATAAACAAAGGGGAAAAATCCTGACCAGGGGCACATCAGATACTCGCAGGCAAAACTATATATTTAAGTTGTTTTATATGCACTAATTTGCATCTGGATGAAGCCAGATTCATAATTCTTGTTTGATTTTGTTGATTTTTATAGAGGGGATTTGGATTTCTCTTTGGATTTTTATCACTCCAGAAATCCTGTCAACAAACAGAAATAAACATATTTTCACCATGTTTTTAGGAATAAAATGTTGTATAAATCAGTGTGAATGATATATGAACAAACCCCTCAGTAAAAACCATCAGAATATAGAGAGGAATAAAACTCTAAAGTTTGGTTTATGTGAGTGCTGCTGAAGTGGAGAAAAAACTTTTAAAGCTATGAATTACAATTAAGAATCTACCGGCGTGAATAGATAAAAGTGCAATCAATCAAACACTTAAATGTGTATTCTGCATGCTTTCTTTCCACTAGTCTCAGAGAATACATGTCATGGAAACAAAATAGACCTCAAAACTCAAAATTGTCCAGTGCATGAAAAAACACTGGTTTTGCTTGTAGTCTCTTGCTTTAAAAGTCATGGAAGTTTCTGTAGTCTATATATATAGTTGGTCATGTAGAAATGGCTATTTTGTGACTGTAATCTAGTGCTGGGCGGTATGACCAAAAATTTATATCAAGGTATTTTTCAAAATTATACCGGTTTCATGACGGTATTTTTTTTTCATGCATGACCGGGTGTTATTAACCATATCTTCTACTGAATCTAGTCTACAGATGGATTGATTTGAGTTGTTATTGCAGGAATCATGACCGTAAGAACCCAGTTGATCTGTGGATCTGATCTCCTGTAGCTTCACTGTTTTAATCTCCTCGTGAGGAACATCTCCGACGCGTTTGAAAGCAAGACTCTCAGTTTCATCGGTGATAGTGTCTCTAGTCTCTTCAGTGTCATAAAAGCATGTTTCTTTTGATAGTTCTGATCTGTTTGTGGAGCTCCAGTGTTTTCAGAGAGACTGATGGTTGGCTGATGTCGAGTGCATTGATTAAACTCCATTAGTTTTCAGGATTCCCATGCGTTTGAACCCCTGCGGCCTTCAGCGCTCTGTGTGATTGGCAGGTGGATCACAGCAGGCCGGTTTTGTCAGTTCTGGTCCGTTCAGTTCATTGACGTGCCGTTACCTTTCATTTTGAACTGCTGATGCTCAGAAACGGCTGTTGTGGATGTTTGGTCAGCCACAGAAAGTGTTTGGATGTTTAAATCACACTTCAAATGTCTGAATGGGATTTATATTAGATGCAAAGAAAGATGTGCAAACACTATTATTTTGCAAGCTCTGTTTGAAATGCTAAAGCAATAGATGTGGTTTTGAAGATGAAGAAAGTTAGTGTTGTGTTTGCTTGTGGTTAGTTAGTGGCTGATGTTGGTGGTTAAAAATTTGTAGCATCCTCTAAAGTTGCATCACCACAAAACCAGCTGATGAAGGCTGTGTTCATTGCATCCAGCAAAAAAACATTTTTGCAAAATATATACAAACCCGATTCCAAAAAAGTTGGGACACTGTACAAATTGTGAATAAAAACAGAATGCAATGATGTGAAAGTTTCAAATTTCAATATTTTATTCAGAATACAACATAGATGACATATCAAATGTTTAAACTGAGAAAATTTATCATTTTAAGGGAAAAATAAGTTGATTTTAAATTTCATGGCATCAACACATCTCAAAAAAGTTTACCTCGTCTTAAAAGTCATGGAAGTCTCTGTAGTTTTTATATATATATATATATATATATTGAAATTTTGAATATTTCATTTCAAAACGCTCTCCATTCACAGTGGTATTTCCAAGCACCAATATATATCTTAAATTTACTGTTCTGCTGTGCGTTTTAGATGATAAATGCATGCCGATTTTGTTTGGTGCTTGGAAATACCACTGTGAATAGAGAGCGTTTTGAAATGAAATATTAAAAATTTATCCAGATTAATGTGAGATTTTAAAGGGGTCATAGGATGCCCATTTTCCACAAGTGGATATGATTCTTTAGGGTCTTAATGAAAAGTCTGTAACATAGTTTGGTTAAAATTTCTCAATGGTAGTGTAAAAAACACCTTTTTACCATGCTCTTTTCAGATCAAGCCGTTTTTGTTGCATTTCCCTTTAAATGTTAATGAGCTCTGCTGCCCCCGCCCCTCTCTTCCGAGCTGCTCTCCTAGAGACTGTTTACTTTAGTCGCATTCATCGTGAAACTTGCTAATTAGCACATTATTAGGAAAGGTTAGATGTATTCCAGGGTGCTGAATGATTACCATAATCATGCAACGTGATATTGACATCATCATGTGTCACATTGCATTGCACTTCACATGTGCACAAACATGTTATTAGCATGCAAACGGCTGCAGTGATAACATGGTAGTGTTTTGTTGGCTATTGATTGGTAGATAAGTGTTGTGGCAGACGGCCGTGTGTGTGTGTGTGTGTGTGTCCAGTAGAATAGCAGCATTGTGTCCTGATGACCGGGCATGAATGCAGTGGGCTCCTCCATCTGCTGTAAACATGGACAACCGTACTGCTCTGGAGAGAGTCTTCGGTCTAATACACACTCACACTCACACACACACACACACACTCACACACACACAC